AATCACCCTCATGCTGCTTAAACTTCACGGAAACCAAGTACTTTCCGATCAACTCCTTCAGGCCTTCAACCACATCCCTCTTCCACATTGTTACAATCCCCCTGGATGCACCTCAAGAGGGGGCAGCCACCCAACTAATCCCCCTGGCTTTCCAAACACTCTGTGCCCAATTGTTATTAAACTCCATTCTCTTAGACTCTTGCAACAGCACAATGTCTGGGTCAAACCGTTTAATTACCTCTTTTATTGTCGCTCTCTTCCTTGCACTCCCAATTCCCCTCACATTCCAACTAAAAATCTTCATTCCACTTCTTATTTAAACCCCTTGYCACCTTCCACTACTTTCCCCCTTTCCTCCTATCTCCTTTTACCCCGAGAATCTTGTCTCCTACATCTCTCTTCAATCTCTCTACTTCACTCAATCTCCTCTTCTTTGTTCCGATCTCCTTCTTCCTCTTCTGTAATCTTTCTTTCAACACATTCAAATCTTCCAACCTACAACCCAACTTCTCTACAAATTCTGCTAACATGTCTTCTCTCACCGAGTCCTCCACCCCTACCCTTCCTACAGAAACCCCTCCAACTCTGTCCATCTGCCCATTCTTCCTCTCCCCTGGTCCCACCTCTATTCTTTCCTCTCCATCCAACTTCCCTCTCCTATTACCTCCCTCCTTCCCAGTTCCTTTCCTTCCATCTCTACCCTCAATCCTTTCCCTCCTCTCCACTAACCCCTCCCCTCTTCCTTCCTCCCCTTCCCTCCTCCAAATCAACTTTCCTTCCACTTAAACACTTTTTCAATGATTTTTCGCACTTTTTCACTCCTAAAACTTCCTTCCCTCACCTTCCCACTTTCCTTCATCCCCTTCTCCCCCTCCTCGGAGATCCTACCTTCTAGCACGGTTACATATTCATGGGCTATAAGACATGGAACAGAAATGGAATCTGGAACCAATGACACAGGAGACACATTAGTAGCACAAATCGAATTCACTTAGTTACCTGGGATTGATGGACAAACTAGAAAAGGACTGCTCCCAGCCTCCCTCTCTTGTTCCAGAGGTTGGTAAACATTTGTCTCCCTTAGTTGGTTGGKAAGTACTTCTGTCATTTGGTCAACCTGGTGATCTTTCACCTCTACCCTTGGTTCACCCCTAGATGGTGTGTTCCTGCTCAGCTTCCTGTTCTCCCGGTTTACCCCTTCTGATAATCCTTGCACACTCTGTAATCTTGGAAATGAGTTGACCCGAATGCAATCTACACCCTGAAATAAGCTTGCAATATTCCACCCATCCAAGTCACCACCAGCACAACTCCCTTCGTCGTTTACACTGCCCACGCTAGTACCATCAGCAGAACGGACCTCCGCTTCTTCATTTCACTGCACTGCGCCCAGCCTTCGTCCTTCTCTTCCCTCTCTTCAGTTCGTTCCCTAGCGAATCTTGGATTCGGCCTTTCTGAGGAGCGTTGCAGTTGGCTATGCTCCAAACTTCGCTGGGAAACCCACTACAACACCGGTTTCTTCTCCAACTTCCGCCGCTGCGCACAAGCCTCCCCCTTTCTCACGACTTGGGACGATGATAGACCATTACCATTGTCTATCAGCGCCCCAAGGGAAACCCCTTTGCCTCGACCCACGTGACAGTTTAAGTTATCACATGGGTCCTTCAAATGGATCCCCCTTTCGGAGTTACGCCCACCAGACCCACCCGCGTGACCTTTTAAGTTGTCACGTGGGCCCTTCCAAAACTGTCCCGGCTCAA